TCACGATCTGGGAAGATTTGCATAACACCGCCCAAATGTTCACGCAAAGAAAGAAGGCATAAATTTTATTCTCGCTGTAGTATTGTTGTTGCTGCCGCCGCCATGTCGTGAAGGCGCTGTGCGTTTCAATTGTGAAAGCGAAACTACTTTGTTTGGCCTTCCAAAAGAGGACACGACTAGAAATCAGTGGTTAAGTTGTAGTTACAACATTGTTCCAGAACACTTCAACCCAAATATTCAGATGTGTGCTGTGTATTTTATGGAGGACTGTTTCCTGATCCTGGAAGAGTAGATAGACTACAATGCCGGCTGTTCTGACTCACAGACTGTAAGTACGTTTTCATATTTAAAGGATTTGCCACTAACTATTCAAACGCGAGTTTTGAGCAGTGTAGAGTAGCGTTTGTAGTTTGTCATTTCTCCGATCACAAATACAGACATGGTTTTATGTTCACACGGCGCAATGCAACGCAAAGCGTTGTAATGTAAGTCATTATAATCCGTAATTATGTCCCCACTGGATGCCTAGTTTATAATGGGTTTTAATGTTTTTGTCTCGTCGCTCCGGGACAAGGCATCACAGTATGGTAGGGGCGTAACATTTCCGTCACACGCTTGAGGCATTCAGCCAATCACAACGCACTGGATAAAGTTATTTTAAGCAACATCATATGACCCCTTTAAATAAAGTTGTGTATGCTTGACGTTTAAAATAAATGTTGTTTATAGTGAATGTCCCTACAATTTTTGATTGTTTTATATTTACGATTTAGTTTTAATCCAAATGCATGCGCTAATGAAGCAAACAGCAATCAAGATCATGCAACAGAAGTGTGCGCTCTCGGACTCTCTCTCTCACTCTCCTTACAGTCGAATAACTTTAGTAACTTGTGCATTGTTTTACTTACTTGATTTTGACAAATCCGACCGAACTACAAACTTTCCAGTGATGTCTGTGAGATATTCACTCGACAAGCTCGCGCATCTGTGCCGCCGCGCGCTCAAACCACTCAGCGCGCTCAGCTTATCAGCTCGCGCACATCCGCTATACAGGCGTGAATATTGACTGTTTAACATTACATTAATTACTTACATGTACTTCATAGATATCCTTAATTTCTAATTACTCAATTCTACTCTCTGTTGTTCTGTTTTCAGTGTTTCTTTTTCTGGACACAGCTCTATTCACATGCTGTGTGGTATCGGCTTTTGGTATCAGGGCATTTTTACGAGTACGGGTACGAGTACAGGAGCGCAGTATCAGTACATCCCTATTTTTTACAATTAATTCATTTTTATTTATTTAATTTATTTTTAAGGATGTAGTTATGGAAGTTTTATCATATTCTGGAAGCTATTTTATCTCCAGTGTATACTAAGTTTATATATATTATATATACATAATTTAGAAATCTATTATACATTTTTAATATACTAATCCAACCACTACCCCAAAAGAAAAACTTTGTATTTTTTTATTTTATTTTATTAACTACTTCATAAAATGCAATTTTATATTTATTTTAATTACATTTGAATGTTTATTTATAGATGTATTTATGGAAGCTTTTTAAATTATTTACAAATATATACACTTTTTATTGAATAAAAAATTTATTATTCATTATTTTATAAACTTTTAATTTAAATAATTTTTATTTAATATATTTTATGGACATTTTATCATATTTTGAGGACAGTTTTGTCCCCAAACCACAGCTGACCTGTGTTTTTCTGTCAGCTTCATCAGCATTATTCTTGATCCTCCATGGCAGGCGAGGGCACCAGTTTTCAACCTAACACACACAAAAACAGCGAATTAGTGTGCGTCAGAGCTAATGATCAGACATAAACCAGCAGAGCATGGAAACACATCTTGTAGACATACTACATCTCATTTCTCTGAATAGCCTTGGGTATTTACATATCAGTCTGCTCATTTAACTACCTGATCAATATTTAAATTACACATCAACTGCTAAAGAGAATGAGATGGTTGATATGGAAATGTATGCAAGTTGCAATGACGATGCTGTATGTGCAGCTCTGTCTAATAGATTTCAGATGTACACACACACACACACACACACACACACACACACACACACACACACAGAGTGTGGTTATTATGAGACATCCATTAATTTCACTGATTGCTCCACAAAATTTTATTCGGAAGTCATTAAACACTCAAAATGAATTACAAGCTGCATTTTTTACCATTTTCTCAAATTTCACGCATCACATCTTTTGTGTTTTATAGAGGATCATGTGTTTACTGTGGCATTGGGAGCAATTCACACAGCCAAACAGAAACCACACTCAGCTAAAACTGTTAAGGCCATTTTAACAAGGTTTACTGGACATGAAACCATATCATTTAAAATATCTTAAAGGAACAGTGCACCAGAAATGACAATTTGCTGATATTTGACTCACTCTCAGGCTATCCAAGATGTAGATTAGTTTGATTCATCAGAACAGATTGGGATAAATTTAGCATTACATCACTTTTTCACCAAAGGATCCATTGAAGTGAATGGGTGCCGTCAGAATAAGAGTCCAAACAGCTGATAAAAACATCACAATAATCCATAAGTAATCCACACCACACCACTCCAGTTCAGTCATTCAGGTAATGTCTTGAGAAACAAAAAGCTGCGTGTTCATAAGAAACAAATCCATCATAAACATCAAACCATTGCTTCTGGCCAAAATACAACTCCATAATCCATAATAATCAAAACTTTTCCACTTCCTCCAGAGGAAAAGTCAATCAACTGTTTTCCTCTCACATCAAAAATCCACTGACTTATTTGTTTTGGACTGTTTTCGCTTTTGTAATCTGTGCTGGATCTGTGCATATTTCTCTCCTGATTCAGACAAGATGACTTTTTCACTGAAGAAAGCAATGCTATGAATAGAGAACTCGTATTTTAGCAACGGTTTGAAGTTGAAAACGTCTTAAAGGGGTGGTTCACTGGGTTTTTTCTAGGCTTGATTGTGTTTATGGGGTGCAGTCTAACATGTCTTAATGCTTCGTTTTTTAAAAAACGCATTATTTTTCACATAATTTACCTTTATCCCACACCGCTCTGTCCCTTCTCTGAAAAATGGGCTGATCATTTCCTTCTTTTATGAAGCCCCTCCCTCAGAAATATGATGGATTCGTTTCTTACAAACACAGCTTTTTGTTTCTCAAGACACTAACTGATGGACTGAAGTAGTGTGGATTATTGTGATGTTTTAGTCAGCTGTTTGGACTCTCGTTCTGATGGCACCCATTCACTTCAATGGATTCATTGATGAGCAAGTGATGTAATGCTACATTTCTCCAAATCTGAAGAAGAAACAAACTCATCTACATCTTGGATGGCCTGAGGGGGGAGTACATTTTCAATAGCACATGAATATGGAAACCATCTAGCATCATGGTTTTATGTCAAAGTACCATGGTACTGCCACATACTTTTCTCTGTAAGTTTGAGCCCAGATTTGTAACCATTAGGCCAATATTTCTGTCACATCTTACCTCACTCAGATAAATGAAGGAGGAACAGGTGGATCCGTCCACTCCGTAGTTGCCGTAGCAGGGGTCCGAACGCCACATGTCCTTCATCCACTGTAGAGGAGGAAACAAAACAAAAAAAAGGGTTTTGTAAATCTAACAAGTATACAAGCATTTGTGCAGGAAGCTGTGAATAAGGTGCGCAGTTTTATTTCCTGTCAGTTTTTCCAGGATATTTTTGAAGTTCTTAGATCAGCTTGACCTTCAGAAAAATTGTTTTCCTCTTCCTGTATCCAATTTCTTCTCACAGTGAGACTCTCTCTAGGACGGAGAGGGACATATTGATCGCAGCGTGCGGTTCAGATCACACTTATCGATCGGGGTTTCTGAAAAAAGATGCCCTCCGTGCGTTGAGTCAGCACTTGATGGAAAAAAGCTTGCATTTGTATGAAGATGATACATTTTACACTGTCTGCATAAAAAATGTAGAAAATACACAAACGGATTTTACTTAATTTGCATATGTCTGAATATTTACATTTGTTTGGTGCATAAAAATCAACCTAATCAAATTAACTACAGAAAGTTGACTGAACAAGAATTTAACAAATGGTTTTACCAAACGATTTGCAAGGTAAGAGTGTAATATATTAATTTATTAAATGTTTTTATTTTAATTGGAATGTAATTTTATTTAAAAAAAAGGTACACACACACACACACAAAATCAAAATAAGAAAATGTTTGCATTTTTTTTTTTTACTTTTGTTTTTAAAACCGGTTTTGGTACACAAATAGCCAAACAAACCAAATTAAAATCACAGATTTTCAAAGTTGACTGAACAAGAATTTAACAAATGGTTTTACCAAATGATTTGCAAACATAAGGATAAAACTTGACACGTCGACCTTGAAACTAATCCTTTAAAAACACATAATCTTAAAAAACATCCTCTTTTGTTAGATTCTTTACCCTTGCGCTTTGGTTTAATGGATAAACAAAACCGTTTTGAGACGTTCTAACCCTTCAGACTAAAGTCAAACACATCAGTCAGGCTGTTCTCAATGTTACTGTTGTCACATTTTGGTTTTAAGTCTGCATGATTTTAAGAGTATTTCCATATCGCAGGAATTTCCATGAGCTTTAAACGAAAGGACCTGTGATTATTGAGATGAGGCCAAGCTCAGGCCTGATCTGACTGAAAAGGCCGACCAGCTTCGTGTGCTCTGCTTGATGTTAAATCCTTCGTAATTTGTCCCGTCTGGCTGCTACATCAACATGCTGTAAAAATGCAGAGGGACTCGTTCTGAGTATCAGGCGAGCTCATTACGAAGAGTGGCGTTCCAGGAAGGAAAAAGCATTATCACATGGTAAAACTCCATTCTGAAAGGATTTGAAAAATCTGAAACTTCTGGGAGGTTAAGCCACATGATGAAACCCTTCAGACATGTGAACGGTAACAACTTCACACTAAGACGTGGTATATTACAGACCTCCATAAAAGAAGAACAAATATATATTATATGCATCATTATATATTACATTAATATATAGAAATCTATTTGATTTAATTATATATTTTTTAAATTAATTACATATATTTTGTATTAATCAATTATTATAACCAATTATATAATTAAATAACAAAATAAAAATATTCTAAATGATTGTATAATGATATATAAAATGATGTTTTGTTATTAACATTTAATCATTATAAAGTATACAGTATAATAGATACTTTATAATGTAATGTAATTGTGCACAAATGTTGTTTAAATTAAAAAGATACATTTATTAGATATATTTTTTACATAATATAGATATATTATAACAATAATAATAATAATCATCATCATCATCATCATAATTATAATAATTTCCTGCCTCACATATACGGGCAACCAGATAAATTACTTTTATCGTCTAAATATTCTAATAATAATAAAAATTATTATTTTTAATAAATGATTAATAATACCTTATAATTATAAATTAAGTATAAAAATATTTAAGTAGAAAATAATTATAAACCTAAGCTACGTCATCAAATTGTGCACAAATATTTGTTAAAAAAGTATTTTACATCAAAAGTATACATTTATTTTTTATATATATATATATATTAAATATTTGCTGATATATTAAATGATAAATGAAAATATCAGCAGATATTAAATATATATTTAATATATATTTTTATTCTGCAATTTTAGCAACTTTTAGCAAACCACATTTTTATTCTTTTTCTCCTAATTATTATTGTCTTTTTTAACTTTTCCCAAAGCTTGTCATTCTTGCAGACTTTAGTAACAACATGAGTACTCTGCTCATAACTAACACAGAATCAGTTAAAAGCTTTCAAATATGTCTCAAAACTAATCAATATCTCTCTGTCTGTAAGGCGAACATCCCGCAGAGAGTCTTTAATTTAAAAAATCTATTTGTCTGGATTCAGGATGGAAATGGTTTCTAAATGTGACCCTGGAGCACAAAACCAGTCTTAAAGGCCACATATTGTACACCTTTCTGGAGTTTTATTTTAAGTCTTGATGTCCTTAAGAATATATATTTGCGGTATAAGTACCAAAAACCATCTCAATATATTTTTACAGCTCCTCTCTTAGGAGCTCTGCAAAGAACAGGTCGATTTTTGCCTGTCTAATTAATATTCATGAGCCTCTCTTCTGATTGGCCTGTTGTTTTCTGAGTGACGCATGGCCAGGCCAACCACAGGTTACTATGGTCATGTATGCTGTAGCCTGCTGTGGATTGGTGATACTCACAAGTAAGGTCAATAGAAACACCGGTAATGATGGTCATTGCTGAGGGAAATGTTGTCCGGCCTGTTTGAGCCGAACTCAGACCCCGAATCGGCGACGGCAGGAGACAACCAACCACCTCCTCAAACGCGCTTACAACAGGATGTTTCAGAATGGTAATGTTTTTTTTTTGTACAAACACCGAATGCAGTAAATATAAACCTGACCAGCCGAGCGTTTGCGATCACGTGAACTTGAAGATACTTGTACAAATGCGGATGGGTGACATGAATGGAAAAGATTCCAGATTGGCGATGTAGTATTTGGTTTCTGTATTCTGTACTGTATTTTCCTGCGCTAAAAACTACCAATCTAAAGGATCAATCGCCGTGTATGGTGTTTCAGGTGATTTGTGAATTAGCATAGACTTATAGTCTAAATAAAACAATTTGCAACTCTTACTATTATTACACTTGTATACAAAACGTTGTATTCTGCTTGTTATAGAGTGTGTGACGTCACGTGCACTACCGCCGGTGGCGCGGTTGTCACGGTGACCGTCACAGCCCTTCTGTGCAATGATGTAGTTTCCTGACATCCAGACTGAACAGCGTTTTCTCGACATGTCTCCGTGTTGTTGTTGCTCAGTAATGGCATGGACGCGATGTTGTCTGGGGGCTTGGCAAAATGAGAGTGGGACTGTGGGCAGTGCTCGAGGTGGTGACTGAAGGTGGTAGTTCTGACGTCACCTTTTTACAGAAGTTACAACGGTTCGTGAAAAATCACAGCTACTTTATGCAGGCTGTGTGCATTTGTCTGTGGATTGACTGTTTTGAAACTTATATGGCAGTTACATAGCACCTAGACCTCAGTTATCATGAAAAAAGCCAGGAAATTTCAGTTTTGACAATATGGGACCTTTAAAGGGATAGTTCACCCAAAAATGAAAATTTGATGTTTATCTGCTTGCCCCCAGGGCATCCAAGATGTAGGTGACTTTGTTTCTTCAGTAGAACACAAATGAAGATTTTAAGTCAAACCGTTGCAGTCTGTCAGATATATAATGCAAGTGGATGGGAATCACGGCTTTGAGAGTCAAAAAAACATACACAAACAAAACCAAATTCTCTGATTTTCACTGCAATGTCCGAACTGTCCTGAGCGCGTTCAACAGCGGGCGCCTGATGCATCTTCTTCTTCTTCTTGCTTTACGGCGGATTGCAGACTTATAAGTGCATTAGCGCCACCTATCTCTCAAGTGGACCATTGACACTCCTAATTGAGATTGTAGATAGAGTGTCAATGGTCTACTTGAGAGATAGGTGGCAGTAATGCACTTATAAGTTTGCGATCCGCCATAAAGGAAGAAGAAGAAGAAGACGCGTCATGCACCGGCTGTTGAACACGCTCAGGATGCGCTAAGGACAATTTGGACAATGCGGTGAAAATCAGACGTAAAAAACGATATAAATACTGTTCAGTTTTCTTGCACAGACCGATCGTTTCATGTCTTTACACATCAATGTACCGTCACGAGCCGCAGGGTTTAATTTGGTTTTGTTTTGTTTGTGTATGTTTTTTTGACTCTCAAAGCCCATCCACTTGCATTATATGACTGACAGACTGCAACGGTTTGACTTAAAATTCTTCATTTGTGTTCTACTGAAGAAACAAAGTCACCTACATCTTGGATGCCCTGGGGATAAGCAGGTAAACATCAAATTTTCATTTTTGAAGGAACTATCCCTTTAAGTCGCTGGGGCATATTTGTAGCAATAGCAAAAAATACATTGTATGGGTCAAAATGATAGATTTTTCTTTTATGCCAAAAATCATTAGGATATTAAGTAAAGATCATGTTCCATGAAGATATTTTGTAAATTTCCTAGCGTAAATATATAAAAACTTCAGTTTTGATTAGTAATATGCTTTGCTAAGGACTTCATTTGGACAACTTTAAAGGCGATTTTCTCAATATTTAGATTTTTTTGCACCCTCAGATTCCAGATTTTCAAATAGTTGTATCTCGGCCAAATATTGTCCTATCCTAACAAACCATACATCAATGGAAAGCTTATTTATTTAAAAAAAAATGACACTTAAGACTGAGTTTGTGGTCCAGGGTCACAAATAAAGTCCAACCGATGAGAAGCCACCATAGGACAGTGACAGCATAAAGTAATTAAAGAGCGACTCAGATCGAGAAGCTTTCCTCAGAGAGCTGGATCAGAGGGTGCGAGAAACACTCACCTTCAACTTCCCTTCACAATGCGGAAACCCGTCAAGCAAGGGTAGTTCACATTTTTCCTGTGCTCCATTCAGCAAGTCTGCACACACAGAAAAAAAGAGAGAAGAACATAATTAGCACACAACAGTCCCAAAACGCAAGTCTGCGCACACAGAAAAAAAGAGAGAAGAACATAATTAGCACACAACAGTCCCAAAACGCAAGTCTGCGCACACAGAAAAAAAGAGAGAAGAACATAATTAGCACACAACAGTCCCAAAACGACACATTTCACAGCTGAAAATCAACAAGATTGTTTGGCACGCAGGTCTCCGCCTGGAAGATCAATACCGTCCAATTATCGCACAATACACTCTCAAATTAACTCGCTAACATAATATTAAGTGCAAAAGCCACATTGCCATTACAAAGCATTCAAATTGTCTCTAATAAGTTACATTGCCTCATTTGAACTGATGAAAAACAACTAAAGGATGAAAAGAACAAACTTAAACAAGAAAAAACAAAAAAACATTGGTTATACCCATGGAAAGTTAAATGTTAACTAAGTCGTAAAGTTTTGCGTACATGTTTTTTGAGACAATGAACCTCAATCATGAAATGCTAACAGAACAAATTTGTTTGAAATTTGGAAGTAAAGTCATTTCTATGTACATTTTCCCATTTAAGTAAATAAGTACATGGGAAATGCATGTACAAATTTGATTTACAAATGATTTGCACTTTTGAACTTTCTTTAAACAAACTTTGTGCTCCCGTTTCATTAAACAAAGCCCAAAATATGTGTAAACAAAATTGAACTAACTTATTAAATATTTTAAAAAGTAAATAATTGTAAATACAGTATATATTGTAACAGTCTAAGGTTAAAGCTTAATTTCAACTGTAGTCCCTGAATAAAACCACACCATGCATTTTTAAAGGCAAGTTTTGATAGGTTTAAAACATTTTTAATACAAGTAGCTCATTTATTAAAGGGGTCATATGACTCTATTTCAATTTTTCCTTTCTCTTTGGAGTGTTACAAGCTCTTGGTGCATAAAGAACATCTGTAAAGTTGCAAAGACTAAAGTCTCTTATCCAAAGAGATATTCTTTATAAAAGTTAAGAGTCAGCCACGCCCACCTAAAACGGCTTGTTCTAACACGCCCCCACATGTATACGTCACTATGTGGGAAGATTTGCATAACGCCGCCCAAATGTTCACGCAAAGAAAGAAGGCGTAACTTTTATTATCGCTGTAGTATTGTTGTTGCCGCCGCCATGTCGTGAAGGCGCTGTGTTTCGTTGTGAAAGCGAAACTACTTTGCTTGGCCTTCCAAAAATGGACACGACTAGAAATCAGTGGTTAAGTTGTATTTACAACACTGTTCCAGAACACTTCAACCCAAATATTCAGATGTGTGCAGCACATTTTATGGAGGACCGTTTCCTGATCCTGGGAGAGTAGACTACAATGCCGGCTGTTCTGACTCAAAGACTGTAAGTACGTTTTTTATATTTAAAGAGTTTTTATATTTTATATATTTAAAGCGAGTTTTTTGGGCAGTGTAGAGTAGGGCTTGTTGTTTGTCATTTCTCCGATCACAAATGCGGCACGATGCAACGCAACACGTATAAGTCATTATAATCCATAATTATGTCCCCACTGGATGCAACGAATGCCTCGTTTATAATGGGTTTTCATGTTTTTGAATCATCGCTCCGGCCTGACAGGGCATCATCACAATATGGTAAGGGGCGTAACATTTCCATCACACGCTTGAGGTATTTGGTCAATCATAACGCACTGGATAGCTGGCCAATCATAGCACACCTTGCTTTTCAGACCGATGAACTTTGTAAAAATCGATGCGTTTCAGAAAGGCAGGGCATAGAGGAGAAACAATAATGTACAGTATGTGGAAAATAATGTGTTTTTTAACCTTAAACCGCATAAACGCATTTCATTACACCAAATACACCAAATAATGTTCTTTTTAGCAGCATCATATGACCCCTTTAATGTAAACCATAAAGTGCAAAATTCACTTCCCTTCAGACTGAATACTTCACAATCACAACCCAAAATCAACAAGCTTTTTCGGCACATGGGCATTCAGCCGGAGAAAGGGATCAATAATGCAGTTAACACGGCAAATTAACACAGTGTGATATTAACACCAAGACCGAACACCCACATCTTGCCAAATGCATTCAAACGGTCTTCAAAGATGTTCTGTTGCTGCTTTACACTGCAGAAAATAACAATGAATGCAAACAAATTTGACATAAAGGGATAGTTCACCCCAAAATTTTAATTCTGTCATTAATTATGCACCCACAAATCGTTCCAAACGTGTAAAAATCTTTGGAACACAAATTAAGATATTTTTGATGAAATCCAAGAGCTTTCTGACTCTCCATAGACAGCAATGCAACTGACACATTCAAGGCCCAGAAAGTAGTAAGGACATCGTTAAAATAGTCCATGTGTCATCAGTGGTTCAACCATAATGTTATGAAGCTATGAGAATACTCTTTGTGTGCAAAGAAAACAATAATAACTTTATTCGACAATGTCCTTACTACCTTTCTGGGCCTTGCACGTATCAGTTGCATTGCTGTCTATGCAGGTTCAGAAATCTCTTGGATTTCATAAAAAATATCTTAATTTGTGTTCCGAAGACGAACGAAGGTCTTACGGGTTTGGAACGGCTTGAGGGTGAGTAATTAATGACAGAATTTTTATTTCTGGATGAACTACCCCTTTAAAATGGGAACTTATCCTGCGTATAATACATAATAATAAATAAATGTTTTGAGCCAAAATGTCTACTATTAAGGTTGATAAGATCAGAATTTACAGCTATCGTTAAAAATATGTTACGTTAGTTACATTATAATTGTTCTTCGTCTTTTTTACTAGAAATTCTTTAAAGCAAAACACTTTGTGTCACAACAAAAGGTTGTTACAAAAATGAACCAAAAACAAACAAGAAAATCAATGATATCTAAAGAACAACTAAATGTTGATAACGTAAAAAACAAAGTAATAAAGCTAAGAAATTTGTAGTCAAAATTACTTTTTCAAAATTTAAAATTTGTCTCAAATAAGTTGCTGTTTGTAATGTTCAAAACATAATACATTCAATTAAACACTGTCAGACAAGAAAAAAGGTCAACTTTTGCATTTTCGTAAGTCATAAGTTTGCGCAAGTTTTACGTCTTTTGAATTGTCATTTTATTTTAAATATCAAATTTTAAGGGTGATTAGATCTCAACTAATACAATTTAGGATTTTCATGACAGTTACCTTTTTGTTTATTGTTTTCTTTTTTTATGGAAATCAAGCTAGCGTTAACAATGATTTTCTGGAATCTTGTTTAATGCTAATTTAATCTTGTTTGCACACAGCATTATTTTACATATTATATTAACAATTTACATTAAAAAGGGTTAGATTGGCAAAGAAAATGATGGCACAGCTTTATACTTTGAACTTTCACTTGTAACTTCCCTTTAGGGCCAAACAAACATAATCTAACCTAGCTTTTTCCTTTCTCTCTAACAGTTTCTGTCGAGCCATCAAATTCCACAATCTCCTTCGTTCTGAGAAACTACTGATATGGATTTAGTCAACACATATATCATGAAAAAACCTTGGACCATGAATGCACTATTTGCAGATTCGAAAGAAACTGATCTTTGGGGACACAAAGTAGGCACACATAATCTACTGTGCAAGCAAATGTGTCTCTCTTCCAATACAAACACGCACCCGCATTCTGCACTCGAACCCTTTTCCGAGTGCAGACTTTTACACATTCACGGACGCTTTTACCTCTCAGGTGTTTAACAGTAGTCCCTCAGGTGTTCCCAGGAGTAAAGAGCTCTTTTCAAGGGCACAATGGAGATAAGAAATCTCAGTGACTCAAGTTACAGAGTTTAAAAAGCCAAGCGATGTAGAATATCAAGTGCAGGGCTGACACAAGTATATGACATCATACAGTGAAGATGGCTATTGTTAAGCCTACATGTAAGCATGTTATATATAACGATCTTTTAGGATGAAACAGCTATTTGTTTCAATTAATTAAACAGCTATTTGAGAGCTTAAAGTTAGGTTAGATCATAATATCATAACTTCAAGAGCTACACAGTTATTTGTTTAATTTGTCTCGAAGTCCTAGGATTATAGCATTTGACTTGACATCTAAAGATTAAATGTGCCGCCTGATGTTTTTGCCACTGATTATCTTCACCCGTTTGTATTAGCTATGAAATCCCTGAAGAGATTAACCTGATCCATAGACTGGGATGTCAGGAGGAGATTCTTAAAGCTTGCAGCTCAATCAAAATCCATTGTTTTCAAAGGAAATGGGACGTAAGAGAGCCGATAAAAGAAGGGAGAGGAGTCGAAACGGGACGAGATGAGAACATTTTGAATTTAAGATGAGGGAAGTGTAAACGAGATGTGGAATGAAGATGAGAAAACAGGAGACAAGGTAAGATGAGATAATATGAGGGAGGGGACAGTGAACGTGATTTCACCAAGTACAACATGTTCTAGGATCAACATCCTTGTTGATGCTTTAACAACATTCCAATCAACCAATCAGAATTGAGGGATAACTTAAGAAAATATCTGTTTTAGGCTTACGATCAGGGTTAGGTGCTTCTACACCCTTGTTAATCAGTTATCATTTCACACTGATTTTAGGAATAAATTATGGGTAGTGTTAGGTTTAGGGGTAGGGATTGGGTTAAGTCTATATTTTTGGACAGTAATGCCGAACCAGGATCAACAAAAGATGTTGATCAAGGAACATGTCTCGGCGACCGGGAGGGGACGGGGAGACAAAATGAGATAAGATGAAGGGAAACAAGAGGAAACAAAATGAGAGGAAACGATATAAGAGAAGATAGGAGATCAGAGGTGAGGAAACGAGATGAGATTATATGAAAGGAGATGATGAGGGAAACAATGAGATGAGACAAGACATGACGAAAATAGACAAGATGAATTCAGATGAGGTGAGACGAGATGAGAGGAACTGACGGGAGATGATACAAGATTAATGGGGAGGAGATGAATCC